GCAACAACTGCACTTGAACCTCTGATCCTGAGGCACCCACTGAAAACAACTGAGCTTAAATTTCCATCTGGAGCTTCTCAGTTGAGTCCTGAGGCCCTTCCCAGAATTGTTGAGCAGCTCCTATAAGATCTGAATTATCAAGGTCTGTAACACTAGCTCAGAGCACTGATTCTTAAGATAGAATGGGGTAGGTCTGAGGACCCCATGATTAAAATCACTCAACATACCCATTGCCAAACAGAAAGACCCTCTCTGGGGTCATTGCATGAATCCTAAGCCATGGAACCCAAAGGATCAATCTAGAAGAATTCTAAGCTATATATCAACCTTCTCTGACCTATAACTTGGGGCAAGTTGGTCTACTTTTAATACTGAATCAAAAGAAGAAAAAGATTGATTTTTTCCCCCAACCCTTCCCTTTTTATCATTAATATTATTTCAGAATTGGCAGTCAACAGTTGCTGTAGCTGGGTAAATAGAGCCCCGGTTCATTCACTGATGTGCTGTCATCATTTGCGATGCCATCCATCTCTCAGGGGGACTTCAGCTTGGGAACTGCTTTGCCAGAAAATAAAAACAAAAGCAAAGAATTGAATTTTCTTGCAAAGGTAAATTTCCCTCATTTCCATTTATTACCAGAGCAGTTACACTTGTTATCTAAACAATCTGTTTCAGATGGTCTTGAGATAGAGCAAAATACTATCAAATACTAACAAAATACTGAGATCATGCACTACTGAAGGACAATGTAAATAAATAAAGAGAACCCATCCAACACAGAGATAGTCAGGGAAATATTACTTTCCATCTTTCTAGGAAACTAAGTCTAAGCTGCTACAGAATAGGAAACATCTGACATCCATTTAATTGGGTTTTCAGTGCTTTAGTTCATGGGGAGAGCTAAGGCAGAAAACAAATGCAAACACTGTATTCACCTGCTGTGATAATGTGGTTACTTGTGATTAGAAGCTTTATAACATTGACAATTTTATATCAGAGAAATCAGCTGTGTTTCAGACTTTTTAAAACTTCTGTAGCTATTCTGAGTAAATAACACACATTATATACACTCATAGCCTAAAGGTAAGTTATTAACTTCAGAAATAAATATTCCTTAAAGAACATTTTACTTAACGAACCATACATAAACATGCATTTCTTCTTTGACTAACAAAAAATGCCAACACCAACCCACTGAGTCATTCTGTGTGTGAGTTTAGAGATCAACCTGGTTAGATGCCAGCTGGCACTAACAGCTGGAGGAGGGGGATCTCTCATGAGACCCCAAAAGTATTCTGGTTCCTCTCTGAAGAGTTCATCACTGGACAGGTTTCCATTGAGCCAAGGACCTCCTTAGGCTAATATTTTTGGAGAGCCAAGTAGGTTGAACTGATTTGCAGTATGGACACAGGTAAAGCAAACTTTCCTTAATTTCCCACTGCATTTAGAATAATCCAAATTGGTTATGATGCATGGGGGGTCCTGCCCACAATTCTTACTACTCTTACTTCTCATTGCACTCTAGTCTGCCCTTCTTTGCTTTGTGTTGTGTGAATATTCCATACTTGTCGCTCCAGTGTTTGTACTCTGCACTTTTCCCTCTGCCTGCAAACTCTTCTGCTTCATTCCCTGTGTCGACCAGCTCATTTAATGCATCCTGAGAAAGGCCTTCCCTCACCATATTAAATTAGTTTTACACCCCCTACCAAGTTCTACCACATTATTCTATTTATTTTAGGAATCATTTATGTATTTGTTTTTGATCTGCCTAACTCTCTAGAACATGAGTTCCATGTTACGTTTCTGCTCATGATTACATTCTAGTGTCTGGCATGTTATGTGAAAGGATTTCTTGCCATTGACACAATCCCTTTGTAAAATTGTACTTAATGACACCATAGCTGCTCAAATCACCTCATGTCATCCTTTCCCCAGCTTTCCTAAACTATAAAATATGGCAACAGAATTTCACTGTCTCCCAGGGTTCCCAGACCAATGCCGCCAGTCACTCACCTGTAATTATTGTAGAGCTCCAATTTCTTTTAGCCGCTTCAAGAGTTCCCCATTCTGTTGCATAGCTACTAGATCACTGCATCCACCTATACAATCTTTACCCAGAAAGACCCGGGGCACCTGGAAAAGCCAACAGGCAGGACACGTAAGGAAATTATTCGATTAGAATAAATCATTTATCTTAAAACATTTCCTATGATCCAAATTGCATTTCAAATCACGTGACAACCTCCTCGTATATGTTCTTTCAAGTCAAACTTTCTGCTATAGGGTAAAATTACTAGGGAATGTTTTTTCAAGTCAGGATATTTTTCAAATTGAGGGTGTCACTCATGAGATGGCTAGTTTTGCCCAAAGTGACTTAAAAATCACAACATGGAAACACTTTCCAGGGACAACCACGCTGCAGCCTGGGACCACACTGACTGATTTTGGATTTCTCTGCAGCAGAGACCACACATGAACCCTTAAGCCTGGGCCCTGACAACCAGGAAGAAGTTCGTTTCCAAAAACGGCTGGCAAGGTATTTGCATTAGGTCCTGTGCCTGGTTTTCAGATCCAGTTTATTATGAGCTTGTGTTGTGGGTTCTGTCCTCAGCTGGGGAGGGTGGTGAGCACTTCTGTAACCCCTGGTCTCTCACAAAGTGGAAGCACTTTGGGGTATGGGGTTAGGTGGGTGTCACCCACGACAGACAGTATTACAACTCATTGTACACTCCAGTCATACTCCGAGTCCCTGCCTGCCTCTAGGTATTTCAGAGACTTTCAGACAACCTCCAGTCAAGAATGTCACAGATGGAAATGCTGATACTGATGAAATAAGCATAAAATAGAGGTCATCTGTGTGGTCAAAAGCAGTTTTCTCCCTGAACACTAGGAGCACACCAGAAGGCAGAAAGTGAAAGACAAAGTGATATTCTCAAAGATTTATTTTTTCCTTAGAAGAGATAATGCATGTGATCTTTTCTCAAATGTGAGAAATCAAAGAACTAAATTATTTAGATAAGTCCATGTTGTACTTTTATTAAGAAGAGGGTCTGAATGAAGAGGGTTTTAAATATTAAGCAGCCTTAAAAATTAAAGCCCTGGCCCTCCCTAGTGGGGCAGGGGTTTTAAAGCACTGCACTAAGAAGATTGAGCCACTTCCTCCTGAGTTCGATCCCTGCCTGCCTGCCTGCTTGCTCTGGAGGAGATCCACATGGCGATGCAGATCTCTCCTGACCCACCCGCTGCTCCCCTCAGTAGTGTACTTCGTCATTCTGCCTGTTCTGCTCCCCACTCTGTCTCTGGTAAATCCTCTCACCCTCCGCATCTCTGGCCTGTACCCCAGTTCTGTATGAATAAATAAATCTTAAAAAAAAAAAATTAAAGCCCAAAGTGAAATGAACCCCGCACGACATTTCTACAACTACTTCCTGCACTCCAGGAAAAGAATGCTCCTATTGCAGGGAGAATCTTGGTGGCATCCTCTCTGGCACGGCAGGTAGGATCTGCCCCACCTGTCCCATGGGGCTTGTGGGGGCTTTGCAAAGTTCAGGTTCCATTCAGCAACATTAGTTTTATCAGCTGAAAGAACAGCCACAGAAAGGTGAGATCAGAAAGGCAAATTGCCCCATGTTCTTGGTCACTAAGAGAAAAAAAATCTTCCCTCCTAAATTAATGGGGCGTGTTAGTGTCTCTCCTCACAGTTAGCTGTGGTCAGTTGGAATAATAAATACAATAAATTCCCTAATATAATTTTAATATTGTTGTACTGCAGGCTCTTTTTATTACAGATATTGACTAAAGATCATCAGAGCTTTCATTAAGGAAGAGAAGTAGACATTCTCGAACTTCTCTATTTTGAGAAACAGTTGGGCAGCTGTTCACTACTCTTAAGAATTGCTACTTCCTCACCCTGGACCAAGTTGTTGACTGAATTTGAATTAGTTAGAAAGAATGCCCTGAGCAAGAAGTCCCCTCTTCCACAGTGGTCTTCAAACAGCATTGTCAGTTTGTTAAAATGGATTTCTACTCCCTACTGCATCTTTCTGATGCAGAAAAACTGGTTAACTGTTCAAGATTTTGCATATCTCAAGTTTCTAGATAATGCTAACTTCTGCTTCGGATATCACCCGTTACAAAGCTCAGGTTAACTCTGAGCAGCTGCCTTTATTCCTCCAAGGTTAAGTGAGGCCTTAAAAACCCAAAGCCTCCAGCTCCAGTTCTCCAGAGTTAAGTCCTGAAATTTGATCAGGCTGTCTTGGGGTGCCTTCGTGGGCACAGCATCTGGCAAAGAAGCCTGTTTTGTCTGTGTGTTGAAAGGCTCCTGAGCCCTAAACACCCATCCACCATCCACCCTTGGGACTCAGCAGTGACACAACCACCTTAAAGCACAGTGACAGGACAGCCTCTCCCCACCCCCACCCCCCTGGAGTGCTGAGGAACCACAGGCTCAGCTGGATGGGGGGGTGGGGGGGGTGTAGCCTGTGGTGACCAAACAGGAAACTTGATTTAACTGAGGAAGGAAGAGGAAATGTACCCTCTGCAATTCTTCTGGCGCCATCCCCTTTTTGAGAGCACATTGAGAGTCTGGCACAGGCAAGAGGCAGAAAGGGAGTGGAGACAGTTACTCAGAGCAGCTACTCAGCCACTTCTCTCCGCTCCTCACCACCTCCTTGCTAAGCCCTAGAACAAGCCAACATCATTTCTTACCCAAATTTCTGCTGCACCCTCTGGGTGTTGCAGGCTGTCCCCCCTGTTTGGCTACAGTCCTGTTTCCATGTAGCTGCCAGAGGGAGCCTTGCAAAAATAGGTGGATCCAGTCACTTCACTCCAGACTATCCACTGGCATCTCAGGTCACCTCACATGCCACAGTCCATAAGGACTTCTCAACCTGTACCCCATGATCTCTCAGACCTCCTCTCATCTTACTCTTTGAATTAGAAACTCTCTGGCTAGGCAGGCCTTCTGGCTAGGTAATGTCCACTGTAAACTGTTGTGACTGCTGACCCTGAGTTTCTGCGTGCCTGGCTCCCTCACCAACTTTAGAAACCTACTCAAACCGGTGAGTCCCTGAAGACTCCACCGAGAACTGTACCTTCTGCCTACTGCCTGACCCCATTTCCTACTTAGTTCTTCTCCACAGCACACCTATCCCTTGTGACTTTCAAAACACTATTGAATATTTTATCTACAGTATTTATTAGAATATAAGTTCCACAAAATAGTTTTTATTTTGCCCCTCTATTTTTTTTTCCCCCTCACTATCCAGAGACTTAGTAGCACTTAGTAAGTGCTTAACCATCTTTGTTGTCTCTGGCAAAATCTTCAAAAGCAAAGAATAAAAAATTTTTCACACAAACAAAAGTTGAGGAATTTGTTGCCAATGGGCCAGTTTTGCAGATGTCCAAAGATGTTCTTCAGAGAGAAGATGATATATTTCAGAAGCATAGATCTACATGAAGAAAGGAAGTTATCAGAGAAGGAATAATAAAGGTATGCATTTAGGAGCTGAGGAGCGCAAACCAAGAGTTTTCTCCAAGTGTATGGCCCCATCACCAGCCGAGGTTATGTCAGTCCAGTCCTGCTGCGCCTCTACTGTTTGTATTGTTCACTGTTGCAAGGAATCAAGTTTACATGATTTTTCTTCCCCATGAAACACACTCAGAAATCAAGAAGTTATGATAAATATTTTTATAGATTCAAAAGCTTAAAGGACCATTTTTTACCAAAAATTTGCTTTACCAAAAAAATGAAAAATTGTTGCATAGATGCAGGAAGACGTTTGTTCCTCCTGTTGGCCAGCCTGGGGCTGTGATTCCCAGAATGAGTTATACATTGTAATTACCAGAGGATCTTTGATGTTTTGGATAGGGAATAAACTTTCCAGATTTATGGAGATCTAATTAACAAATAAATTGGAATATATTTCAGGTGGGTGCCATGGTTGAATAGACATAAGCTTTGTAAAATAATTATCACCATCAAGTTAATTAACACTTTCATCACCTCATACGGATGCCACTTGTGTCCTTGTACTGAGAACACGTAAGCCCTAATCCCTCAACAAATTTCAAGTATACAGTACAGCATTGTTGATTACAGCCCCAGAATTTACTCATAACTGAAAGCTCATGACCAAAGATCTTTAGATAGCTGGGGCCCTGGTAACAGGATAATGCACTCAGCCTCCCTCTACAGCATCACTGACTGAACAGGCAAAGCCTCCAGTGCTTTACCCCGAAAACCCGGAGAAAACCTAGTAAGCTAAACTAGCCCTGAACGGGGATGTGCACTTCTGCACATGTCAAGAATGTGCATCCTGAAAGGGAACTTATCCTGAAGGCATGAGCTGGTGGGACTTCTCTCCTCCCCTGGCAACTTCAGAGCGGATGGATACTCGCCCTTTAGCCGGCTGAGCATCCCTCCAGAAGCTGTTGGCATGGAGAAAGAGGAGGCCGTGGTTCTTACTCATACACAGAAGACTCAGCAGTTGCTTGCTTTAGTCTGTTCTTGCAGCTGAGAGTCTAAAAGAGCACGGAGGTGGTGACTTGCTGGGGATTTCAGAGGAAACCAATGCAAGAGCCAGGCCTGAGCTCTGACCTCTGGATGCCCCATTGTGACAGGTCTGGAAACATCTGGTAAGTGAGAGGCAAGTAACTTTGCCTCTTTTAGATTTTTCCAGTGGAAAGAGAGAGGGGAAAGTGAGTAAATTAGGTTATGATGAAAGGGAGCCTAGAAAAAAGGTTGAAGAAAAATCAAGCCCCAGGAGGCAGTGTGCAAACAGAGGAGTGCATAGGTTCCTGTTGAATAACAAACGTACCATTCCTCTTGGCCTCTCTACCCCACCCTCCAGCTCAGCAATGCAAGCTTAAAATATATTTCTCAGCAGTGCTTAAGACAAAGACTCCAGATCTCTCTTCAGTGACTCCCTGACAGCTGCCTGCCAGGTCCACTGACCCTGACTCCAGGCACATTTGGCCCTGCTCCCTCCTCTGAGCCCAGAAGAGGAACTTTGGCTGCAGCCCAACTTCCCATTCAAGGGAGCGGTGTCTTCTCCCAGCGCCCTCCTCCAGCCTCAGGGCCCTCCAGATGCCAGATGCCCAGTGACAGAGCCGCGACAGAGCCCTAGCGGTGTCCTAGAGAAAGGCACAAATGCACCCCGTTCACAGCCCAGACAAGGACAAGGAATTCCAGAGCCTTTCCCCCACCCTTTTCAAAGTGAGCCCCAAAACTCACCGTTCTGGCTCCAGTGAGCTGTTGCAAATAATCTTGAATCTCATTTGTGTCACCGGTGGCTGTGATATCGACAAATTCCAAAAACCCTTCTTTGAAGGGCAATTGGCCCAGGATCTCTTGGGTCTTTTTGCAGTAAGGGCAGGTGGGTTTGATGAACACCACCACCTTCCCTGGCTGGATTTTGCTGTTTACAAACTCTTGAGCCATGCTGACAGACTGCTGCTTCCCCGGGA